GTGGTTGTCCACACCTAGCAGCTAGATCGACCGATATATTAACTGAAGTTTGCGGATTGGAGGTAGTCTCTCGTGACCGGTCTCGATCTCTGGTCGCTCCATTCTATGAAGAAGGACAAAAGTCCTCTTATAGTTATCAAAGAGGAGTCGGTTCGGCTAACATAGCTTCCGAAATACTAGCCTTAATAATACTACGACACTCAACTAGGGCTCGTTGAAAGCAAACCCAAGATAACTAGGCTTGTTGGAGAGTCGAGTGTAAATGTATAGACTAAATATCAATCCTTCACTAGGTTTTGAAACGTGAGCATACTTTTTGACGTCCAACTACAGTTACATTTTCAGTATGGGATTGTGGAGATTGTCGAATTCCAGTTAAATCATGAGTCGATCTAATTTAAACAGCTAATGAAAATCTGGATTCATTGAACGGTGTTTTCATCCTACCATGTGACTCAGCGTAACGGTTACACGATCCTTTGGTAGGGACTCGAATTCAGGACCTTCAGTCTCGCGCGTGAACGCTTAACTTCCAGACCACTGAGCCGGCATTCAACACTGTTGATGTACTTGAACTTGAGGTGGCGTTCGATTTTGTTGATTGTGAGGTTCTGTAGCAGTCTGTCATTAAAATGCGTACCAAAGAAGTACATTAACCTAATACAGGCCCCCTACTCGAATCAAAGCTTATGACGATCTGTCATCATTATTTTTAACCGAAAGTGGTGTTCGTCAGGGCTGTCTAATTTTTCCATTTCTTGTGAATTCGTCACAATTATCCTTTAAGAGATAACATTCATAATCTGACATCAGGGATCGGTCTTTACCTGGAGATTCACTTGTTGAATTAGGATACGCAGATGATATAGTTCTGTTTGGTGAAGACTGACAAAATTCAGAGTCTTCTGACCTCACGGTTCTCTCCCTTCAAATGTAAAGTGTGACTTCAGGATTGCCTTGCTTCATCGTCCGAAGTAGTGATATGGAGTGAAGTAGTCGAATACTTCGACCGCTTCACTTTTCTTGAGAGTCTCATCAGTCCTGATGTCCGACAAAATCTCTTCACGGATTCAGGAGGCTGAATTCGCTTTTGCGTATGTACGATATCTGTCTCACAATCAAAGGATGAGTTCACTCCACAGCAGTTCACTCCATTCTACTTTATGAGTGTGAAACATGATCATTAAGATATAGACAATATTTGTAGGTCACTAGTATTCGGTCATAATTATCTTCGAAGCATTGCTCGTGTATTTTGGGACCACCTATTATGTAATGTGGAGGTTATGAATAGAGTAATAGGTGAATATGGAAATTCGGTTGATGAGGTAGTAAATCTTCATCAACTGAGCTGGTTGGTAAACGTTACGCATGGCCAACCATTACCTCCGTGAACAGGTAATGTTTTCTGGTGTTGGAGTAGGCTGGATGAAACGAATACATAGTATCAGCCCATGAAGATAATGAGAATTGAACTGAGCCATGTTAATAAGTGTAGACTACCTGGATTCTGCGTGATTGTCTCAAGTAGCGGTTATAGAATATGGGTGACATGAGTTAAAATCGTTACCAATGGCACATGTGCATCCATTCCTGGTCTTCCCCCGAATTCTGAGATTCCGATTCTCACGAGATTTCTATGTTTTTATTATTCGAACTTATATTTTCTCGAGTAGTATCGTTGATGCCTAGTTTTTTAACCGCTACTCATTCTCTTACTATCTCTACTATTCTAGGATTTGGCATGACAATTTCATCTCTGTACTAATAGGATGTGGCCACTTGAACCAATGTACATATGTACCAGGTTCTACGTTGTGAGCAAAATCTCAAGAGGTGGCTGCTGTTATCTGCTTATCAGACTAGTAGGCTTTATGACCCACCTGCATTTTTCCGATTGACTTAACCTGTCGAATTGGTCGCTAAAATCGCCTGCTAAGGTTACTACGGCTGGGCATCCGGCTTCCTGAGAGAGATCATGAAGTTTCCTGTAAACTCACTTTTCACTCCATTCGAAGTGCAATCAGTGGGGGTATAGGAATAAAGAGCGAGGATTCAGTGACGTGTCATTATCTCTTCAACTTCTAATTCCGCCATTGAGACGGACAGCAGACAAGTGAAAATCGACAGGAATCCAGTCAAGTGCCTGTTCTGTTTTCAGACTTAATGTCATATCTATATTTCTAAAACCATGAGAATCTTCTTTCGTGTCTCCAAATACGCGAAGATTACGTCACACCGGCTGTCCATGCTGGTTAGGGAAGGTAAAGTGAATGGCTGTGCTAAGATCCTGTGTGCATACTCCCGAGACATCATACACCGATGGCACATGATTGCCATATCTTAGTTTGTGATGCCTGTTTGATTAACCAAAGGGGTCGGACGTTGAAAACTCCAACATGTAGCTTGAAGCGAAGTTTTAATAGACCTAGGCCGATATTTGGTGAAGTTGAGTTATTATCACTGGTGGCATATATAAAAGTTATGACGTTTTCTGTTGGAAGCATGATGTCGGTTGTTGCTCCTATGCCGTTCACACCACGAAAGGATAGTTCTTGAGGTATCTAAAGAGATAGCTCTTGTCTTAGTGACTCGTAAGCGTGATCGCACAATCCAAGATAAAACTGGTTCAGGCCAGTCAGGGCCTTTTTCGAGTGGTTTTAGATAAGTTGGCTCCGCATTTCCGAGGCTCTTAACACTGCAGACTGGAATCCATGGGGCACTGTGATGTATTCTATTTTTAGGGTCGACCTTTCCTAGACCACTCCTTTCGTTATAGGAAGGCAATACAGCCCTATATACTGGTTGTCCAAGAGGAACATCTTACTGCTGTCATACTCGAATACAGTCCCCAGTACTTCTTCCTCAGGCCATATGTTACTGCTTTTAGTTTTATCGTTCTCCGACCGACCTACCTTGCTTAGTAGAGTCTGAGGTAACGAGTGCCTAATCAATCTACCTCGACTGGGTCATCACAATATGAAGGACCGACCGCAATGTTACGATAGCAGATACGGTAAAGATTATATGTGAACCGATGAATACTCTGAGTAATTTCATTTAGATCCTGTTGCAGACGTACTGACCTGCAAGAACAACTGTTCAGACAAGTGGCAATTTAAACAAATACATCTTTCTTTGTAAACTAATGAATTACGAAGCATGTATGTTTGCTGTATTTTGTTAAGTTATATATACCCGACTGAAGTAGTGGAGACATAATCCGTTGCGTTCATTAGAACAATAATTGAACATTTATCTGACCGTAATATCATTATATCATCATTTCGGTTAGTATTTCGTAATGCTTTTAAGTGGTCTTTGGATAAAAGCTTCGATAATAAAGGGACCTATGTGTATGAAGTAGTGGAATTAAGCGAGTAGGAAAGATTGTTTCTTATTTTTTTCTGGTTATAATTTTATCTTGGAAGATGAAGCAAATAATCATAACTTTGTGATAGTCTAGTAGTACATTCGACTAACAAATGGAGTAAGGACATCTGTGCTTAATTTGCTTTATATATGAAAGAAAACAACAGAAATTATAACTAAAGCCTTTTAATGAGACCTAGTTATTGTAAAATAATGTTAATTGCAATGTAATATGCAAGTGAAAAACCAGATAATTTGATTAAGAATAAGATTCTGAATTCAATACTCATTTATTTGGTGTAATTACGAAGCAAAAAAAAACTGGGACCAATTTTAGTAAGTGTAGAGACTAATTTCCACTGACTCCAATAAATAGTATCCCGTTAACCGATTATTTAACGCAGGCTAAATCTCCTAGTAGTATTATGAATTTTTCAAAAGTCCGAATACCAGTTGTAGAGGTAGTTTATTGTTAAGATTAGTAAAAATCCGCAAGTGCGAAGATATCAAGCACACAGGGAAACGAGAATGTGAGTGATTGTTAAAAATCCATATATATTTATGAGTGTTAATCGATTATGGATAAATTACTGATTGTATGTGTTTACAATCAATGGGAGAATACATAAAGATTGATGTACAGTGAGTAGACAAATAATACATTAGTTCAATGGGCTTACTACACAAGTGTTCACCACTAACCACCATTGTGAAAAGAAATCTTGGTTATCATTGCGAGTGAACCATCACAGTAATTTCATTTTAGTATCTAGGTGGCGAAAAACTGTTTATTTGAAGTATCCAGTGAGAGGAAAACTTGATTTCCGATAGAAATAACCTAATGCAACTCCATAACCACATCATGAATGCTGTGAGCTAGTTACTGTGTGGAAGTAGGCATTACTATCTGTTTAATAAGGCATAAATGGGTAGAGTTATTTGGACTCATGGCTCTTCGTCATTCAAGATAAAAGTATTTCATCTTAAATAATACACGGGAGTCATAACTTTGATGTAAGCCCTGGTGACTATATGCCAAAAGAACAATGCAGGTTTCCTGGTTATGATGTGAAGTTATATGCCGCGAATTTGTAAACAAGTGTTATCGTACATACGTTGGTCAACAGAAGTATACGAACTCGTCTCGGTTTTGAAATTCACACCAATAAAACTTTTCAAACTTAAAGATAACTGGTGTGGATAGGATCTTCCGAGGTACATACAACTAGCGAAGGTTCAATTTTGTTAATAATCATAATAATCACTTCTCCTGTTTTCATAAGTTGGATTACGTTTGTTGTTGCTTCATTTTCCATCGAATCCTCAACTCTAATTAATACTTTCGGTTAATCGTCTTTGATGATTGATTCACAGGGGTCTTAAAGTTTAATCACTTTGCGACTATCGTTTACAGATTATTTAGATGGCTACTTTGTGGAGATAATTATGACTTCACTACGGACTGATACCGGTTGACTGTCTATCACTCTATGGCTTCCAGCGGTTCTCCGACCCACAATGAGAACTTTCAATCACAGCATCCCTAAGCGCTAAATATTCATCTAGTCACACTAAAAACTGCGTTTTTTCTCGGAATTTGTTTTCAGAGACAAAAGTATTGAACATGACTGAAGTCATATAAATATTCATTACGTGATCAACCTTTGACTTTAGATACATCAAATATAATTATAGTAAGTTAAACATGCGTTTATACGCAAATAAATCTGACAAGTTGAGAAGTATAAAAAGCTCGCTTTATAACAAAAAAGATAAAACACATGATTTACAAGCATTGAAATATCAATTGGCCAAGAACAAAACATATGAATGAGCATCGTGTCCCAAAAAAGATTGGGGAATTTGCCCACTATCAATATGTATTCCTCCAGAACACGTACAATTATCTCTTTGTTTTCGAATCCTTTCATGTAGGAACACTGAAATTTACATCAATATATATATATATATATATATAGAAAAATAAAGTATATTATCTACATAAATCAAATGGAATAAATCACTTGGATCTATATATAATCGACAGATGCTCGTACCATTAACGTCTTGTGTTTATATATGTAGGCTCAACGTAAGCAAATGCGTGGAAAATAAATACAAACTCAAAAAGCATGTATATATTTGTGTAATAAAGAATTGAGTAGCATGAAAGACAATTAATGATTAGATAAGAAAATATGAAATGAAAAGCACACACTTCTTATTAGTATTATTGATGATTTTAGTGGTAGTTTAAATTTGGCACACATTGTTGGTAAGAATAGTAAGTAGGACTTTTAATTAATTTTCGGAAGGTATAGATATTATTTTCACTGAGATCTAAGGGCGAAAACAACATAATAAACCAAAGCAGAAAATGGAATTAAACACTTTGTAGTCTCAATAAATGAACAACTTTATATGTCTGTATTTAGCTCATCATGATACGACGTAAATTATTTTGTAATACTGTATCTTGCATAGCATTGAATACTGTTTCGATATTCCGCCTATCTACAGCAGTTGTGAAATGACGATAGACCATACGTTTTCGTACAGGGGCTGTAAATGTTACGTTAGTGGACATAGGTACAGAGTTTTGTCTATGAAGAGATGAACATTTAGCAGTATTATTGAATGATGAATGTGAAAGACTTGAACGAGCTTGAGTATCTGGTGGAAAGTTGTGATTGACTAGAGAGGCAAATACTTCAACCATAAATGTTTGCACATCTTGCAGACGAAATGGATCCATTTTCACTGGGTAATTGGGAAACTCATCACGAATATTTGATGTACGTGAGTTTAACTTTTCTTTAAGTATATCAGTTTTGTTAAAAAATATAATGATGGAAACACGTCTAAAAGCAATATGATTGATAAGTCCTTCAAAAACAACCATAGCTTCATGTAATTTATTTCGAAATTCTTTGGTTAATCGATCTTGATAATGTTCATCGTAATGACTGCAAGCAATAAGGAACAGGACAGATGTCATATCAGCAAAACATTGACACCATTTACGACGTTCTTTTGTTTGTCCACCGACGTCAATAAAAACAAGTGATGATGAGTGGACATTTATTTCTTCTTCAATTATAGATTCCGTTGGTTTACGTGACCAAACTATATCTTCATCAGTTGGACGATAATTCTAAAAAATCAAGAAAAATTTCAAAAAATCCATTGTACTACTTAAAATTTTGTTTAATTCGGTTATTTATTTATTTATTTATTATCTATATTATTTATCTATAGAGAAGCGAATTACACTAAGTTGTGAAGCATTCGAAAATCTATTTTTAACTCACTGAGTTATAAAAAAATATTATTATATAAGAACTATAAATGCACGAATGGGATCTTAAAAATATGAAGTAGAAGTCAACCACATAGTGTTATGTATCTTTTAGAAACACTTTTATTACACTTAGATGTTGGAAACCAAAATCAACTGAAAAGCTTCCAAGAGGGATTACATTTACAAGAGGTAAGTAGACTAGGAAACATAAAATATGATACGACAGTTCATCGATTCAAGACGCCATATTTCTTAACAGTGCAAAATGAGAAACATTTTAGACAGAAAACATCAGAATGAACTAGAGGGAGACTAATTGAAAAATGATAGAAAGTGTATAAGTCCTATTCAATGTTGTACACTAAATTCATGTGATTTAAGATTTTCACAGAAGATTTGAATATATTCGGTGAAATTTAACGAACAAAACTACCACAGTAAATAAGGTCAGAATTTGATAGATTCAAACAGAATAAAAATGAATAAACTCATTTACCGGGTACTTGGATCCATACTCGAAATGTGAGGGCTAATGTTATTACACAACTGGCCAATCCCAAATAGATGGAATGGGGTTAGAATCTAAGACTTAGTGACCGGAAATTGAAAGCTTTAACCATTAAGCCGACGCTCCATTTTTCATAGATTACGAACATGTAATTGAACGATGAAAAAATATACTAGAGTTAATACACTATCTACGTTTACTGACAACTTTATGATGTCATTATGTGTGATTTAAAGTATGTGTTTCTTTTTCTGATGGCTAATTTACATTAGAAAATGTAAACATTACGCATATGTAGCTTTAAGAAACATATATTTAAGTTGCATTAGTTTTTAAGGAAGGAAAAAGGTAAAAAAAAGAATGTAACTGTAAGTTTAAAAAAAATGAGAGAGCCTAAAATGAAGAAAAATTACGTTGCTTGCTATTTTGGAAAAGAATTATTCACAATAACTTCGTAATCAGTTCAGAATCGTGTTTTTAAACAAAACATGTACAAGATTATTCAAGTCTGTAATGAAAAGTCGTCATTAGTTACATAGATATTCGGTCGATTGCGTTATTTGATTTATTTGTGAATATTGTTTCTCTCAGGTGTCTATTATTACTTACTTATTTACTTACGCCTGTTATTCCTTGTGAAGAAGCATAGGTCAAACACGAGAATTCTCCATCCAACCCTGTCCTGGGAAATTCTTTCCAATTGTTATTCGTTCTTTTCATATCTGATTCTATTTCCCAATGTAATGTGTTCTTTGGTCTTCCTCTTTTCCGCTTTCCTTCAGAATTCTGAGTTAGGGCTTGTCTCGTAATGCAGTTTGACGATTTGCGTAATGTATGTCCTATCCATTCCTATCGTCTTTTCCTAAGGTGTCTATTATATTAACTAATAAATCTTTTTAAATATACCAAATTACGTGTTACATTCAACCATTTTCAAGTGAAAAATTATTAATTGGATATGAAGTGAAAAAGAAATTTATTTCTTATTTAATTGTTCGTTCGTTCTATAAACAACAATGCTACTTTTTCAATCTACTGTCATATACATCTTCGATTACATTCTTAGATATATATGCATATAACTTTCTTTGTTGAAAATCTTTATCATCAGTATAAAATAACATCTAATCATAACAGTGTATACAACAATATATTTGTTCTATTTAGTTATCTAAAAAAACACTACAAAAATACATCCTGTATATAGGCAGATTTTAATTATGATTTTGTATTTACGAATTTATTTATTTATCTTAAATCATAATTTCTATAGTGATTTCTTTTACTGTGACTGATACTAGTATTACTGCCCCTTTGATATTCATCTTGATATGGTGTGAAAACTTGAACTAATGCACAAATATCCCAAGTTCTACGTTGTTGGCGACTGACTAAATCCAATTAGTTTTATTTTGAAAAACATTTAAATTCTAATGACCTACATCACTAACCGGTTTTAAATAAGATATGAAGCTATTGTACTATGAGCCTTTTCAAAAGTTTTGTATAAGCAATAAATAGGATTTTCGTTTCAAGATAAACGATCAGAATGCAAATGTTAGTAGTAATTTAGTTTTATAAGTCATACTTCAACCAATTTATCAACAAGAAGAAAGCAAGAGCAAAGATTTAAGCAGAATAACATAATTTCATCTTATTTCATCAGGTTCTTGTCAGCTTCTTACAAACTGTATTATTTAATGGTTAAGATTATAAATTGAGTTAAAAGTACATAAATGAATTTTAAGACAGAAATTCGTTACCTTTATACATCAGAATAGTATGGGAAAGATGTAAATAAATTTAAGAAATCAAATAAAAATTGCCTATAAACATACAATATTTAAAAGAATAATTCTATAGCAACGGTAGTAAAAGAGAAACCGAAGAGTTAGAAACAAATGGTTACGTGATGAGCACACGCCAATGATAAGTGAAAATAAAGTGAGTAAAATTCGGTTAGTTGAAAATCAAAGTGATTGAACTGGAAGCAAGCCAAAAAAGGTAATAAAAACAACCAACTAATTTAAAGATTTGAAAAGAACTAAATGATTTAACTAACTAAAGTTTATGGTACAAAAACATAAAATGTTTGACTACAGTTCAATTTTAAAAACATAAATCACATGTCAATTTTTGCAGTAAACTTCAAAAGAAAAGGGCTTGGCTGTTCAGTAATGACACTGAAAGATTTTAAAGGTACCAAGCTGATGTCTAGAGATTGCATGATTGAAAGTATTTCTTTATCTTGATCGAAATGTATTAAGAATATGTTTAAAAAATCCAATCAATAAAGGTGCCTGATAGGTATACGTAAATTTATACACAGTTGAAGCTAACACAAATGGGGAACTTGTTTACCCTTCACTAAAACATTGAAGATGTTTTATTAAACGATTAATAGTTTGGGTGCACGGTAGGTCCTGGTTAATGCACTATTAAGCTCTATACTGACTGCCTTTGTAATATCATCACCTTCGAAGTTGAGTGGGATAATGACTGGTTCTTTATTGACTGGAGTTATATCCGACTTGTTATCTCTAGTTTTCTTCTCTATATTTATTAATTCATTTAGGCAAGTATTCTCAACCTAATATTGAATTTAAACTTTTAAATAGTACAGGTTGCAAGTAGCTGACAAGAACCTATTATTTTGCTCAAGTCTTTGTTCTTGATTTCTTTAAGATGATAAAGTGAATATGTATAAAAAAAACAAATGCCTTAATTCAAAATACATCAAACCAAGAAGTATAACAAAGATTCTTCTATCAATATTGAACTGATTTAAAAGAAGAAACGCAATATTTCACAAGTGATGGATTTAAACTGAATGCCAAATGACTAGATTGTTTATCTTAAAAGGTATGCGATAATTAAAAAAAGCAAAGCGTATAGTTTAATCGAAACTTGAACAGATAATTCTCTACATAAACAGAGTTCTAAATGCAAAATATTAATTATACTTATGGATAATTGTGAATATAGTATCCCTATAAAAGGGAATATATGCAGAGTTAAAAATCAATTTAGGATTACGTGATAAAAACACAAAAATGTTAATAATCATAGAAATATTCTAATGTTTCATTTCCTTTTTTTTCTTTAACTCGAATATGTTATTCATTTTTGATTTATACTTTCAGTGAACGTGCCTTAAATGCTAAATCAGGCAGATAATGATGGAAAACATTTTGATTATTTATTCTTCTACTGATCACATTACAGGTATGGTGTCAAGATGAATATAGATGTTGTACATATCATGGAATCATATAAATTGTTGTAATGAAATGATGATTTTTTAAATCTTGATAAAAAGTGTTTTGTTAAAACAATGTGCTATTGTAGTGTTATAAAGATGAGGGGTGGAGGAGAAAGAAAAATCCTATATTTATCTAGTGTGAACGAGATAATAAACATTTCGTAAGTTAACTAATTTATACTAGACGAAAAAGAAACATGACACCTTTTGTTCATATATGACAAATCTAATACGTATCTAGTGTAAATCATAATATTAATTTTATGTAATGTTATTTATTTATTTTAACACATAGATAATGGTACAATCAGGCACCAAATACATATGCGCCACACAAATCTCATTCGATATGTGTGAGGGCTGTGATACTGTCCGGGTGACCAAACCGAAGCAGGTGGTTTTGTTAGGTGGCCACTCTCTGAGCCTTCGACCTGAGGGTTTGATCCACAAGGCAGTGGAGCATCGTAAGGAGATGCAGTCCCATGGAGGCCGGTGACCAACAATTCGTTCATACGCCTTTTTTTTCCGCAGGATACTGGAGCCCATGTATACCATTGGTTTGGAATCCGGTTAAAGCGCCAGACATTCGCTTTTCGCCTCTCATTTTCGTAAGCGAAATAAAGAAATCTTAACGATTAGTGTAGATAACTTGTATCTGGAAAGTGAATTTATCACACGAAAATCTTTTCGATCACTAAATATAATTTATTCATTTTTATTTATCAATTCACCAATGAATAACAATAAGCAAACTCATGTACTTTTTACTTTTGTCTTAATGATAATAGAATTACATAATTTAGCTACTTAGGAAAAGAAATCAGTTGAATAATATATTTTTATTGTCGTATTTTTTTCAATAATTAATTAGTCTCTCGAAGATCATAGTTTACGGAGAATAAAAAAAGTACAGTGGTTTAGAATTAAACTAACTTATGATATAATGCATTTTTATGCAACAGAATGCAAGCAAGTTAGTATACATATTACATACTACTTATTATTATTGATTGAGTTTTACGAATCAAGTTTGTAAAGTCGTTCATTTAGTGATATAACTCTGTGTTATAATCATCGATGTTA